AACGAACAATTGTGGCCATGGAATTAGGACAGGCGACTGCTTGTGGGACAAATTGGGGCGGTTGATGTGCGTGAGGCGGGTGATGGTGATGATGGTGGAAACGCTTGAACGGTTTGAATATTGCGCTAAAAAGCTAAAAAGAGAGCTAAAAAGCTAGAAATATTTAGGGACTAAATATACGTGGTCCGTATATAAGGATGATGAAAATTTTCCTGAACTAAGAGGTTCTAAGAGTTAAGCCTTTAATGGTCTTTTGATCCTCTTTTTGAGGTAAGGAACTTTTGAGGTAAAGGATTTGGCATGTAAAATTGATAATTTGTTATTAAATGAAACTTTTCATCCCATTAGTCGCTGGTGAAAAGAGCCCTTCGGAAGGAATCCACCGATCTTGCATATAAAATCAGTGAATTTGCATCTAATTTACTACTTTTACTCCAAGAATCTCTTATTTAAAAAATCTTTAGAGTTAAAGGTCTTTTGATGGAATGATGATGGTCTTTTGATGGTCTTTTGATGCGAAATTATAATCAATAGAAAAAGTGAGTACATAGACGGTTTGACTGAACTTTGAGTGTGGGTTATAAATATTTGTATATTATAATGTTTTTCGCAGCTTGCCAGTTGATAAGTGCAAAACGTGCTTTTTAGTTAAGAAACGGTTTGTTGCTCTTTTTCGATATGCCAAATACTAAATAGAATGATTTTTATAATTCGATCACCAACCTGCAATATTTCAATCGATTTGAGCGCCTCTTCTTCTCGAATCGCCGTACATCCCCCGATCATCATAATCATTAGAACAATTCGAGACGCCGATCGCATATCTGAAACGATGTAACCCAATACTGTTTTGATTCTTATATACAGTAGAGGCTCAGTAGACAATCAGTAGACATTCTATTCAAACAGAGGTTCGACATTCTATTTAACAGAGGTTTAAGAATTCAGTGAATTTCTTGAATTTTTAAAGAGTTTTTTAAAAAGTGAGTTCACTGAATTTTTAATGAATTCTCTAGATTCTTAGGGAATCCAAAGTTCTTGGCATAATGGTCTACTAGAATACCAATATGCTGGTAAAATTCTCTAAAAAATTCATTATTTATAGAAGGTGATCAAGATCTTTTGACCTAATGAAGCTAGCTTATCCATACGGGGTCGGAGTCGAAAACTGAATTGATGGGCTATCCAGGAACATTCATGAAAAATATTCTATTAGCTAGCCTAAACTATTGCTAAAGCCTATTGCTATTTTTTGAGCTAGCGTCATGATCCATGACGCATTTTTTTGCGTATTCAAACATCAAAATCTGATCAGCGTGAAAAAAAGTTTTCCAGAGTCAAAGATCGGTAGTGCAATGAGTTTTACGACCTAAATCTAACTTTCGAGCTCGACCTCGCCAAAATCCACAAATCATCTGGTACATTACATTGGCATCAAAAGAAAACATCTGAAATGTATATTAAAAATCACAAAAAAAATCACAAAAAAAATCAAAAGGAAATTTTCACACAAATCGATCGGCAAGCTAGTGTACGGTAGGCACTTATCCTATGGTACTCTTCGCCCTTCGGTCACTCTCCTCTCACCACCCACGACATTTATTCTCCATGTCTACCCTTTATATATATCTACCCTTTGCTGTCCATTTTTCTCCATATATCTACCCTTTGCTGTCCATCTTGACAAATCGCATTACCGAAATTGTGCCTTTTTTGCTGTTATCCGTTGGTAATTCTGATGATGTTGATTCGCTACTCTCCAATTCCTAAAAATCCGCACATTTTCACAATATTGATATGTCACTGCAGCGTTCCTATCAGAAGTTTGTTCAAGCTTTTGCAGCCCTTCTTTTGCCAAATCCAGTTTTGCGTAAAGTTCGTCCATATATTCCCTATGAATAGCATGCAACACAACACACAACCATCTAAAAGAGCTGTAGATTAAAAGGGTAATCTTAGCCGAATTGTAAAAGTAATCTTTCTTTAGACAAGATTCGTTCAAGTGCGGAACAACGTCAATCATCGCAAGAATGGCACCCACATCCGCAGGTTCATAGTGAGCCCTGAATAACTCAACATTGATTGGAATATCTATGTTAAAGCTATCTGCTCACCCATGTTTGGGTTAAATCTTAATGATCATCAAAAAGTGCGAGCGGCTCAAGTGTCAGACAACTATCTTGTGAACGTTAATATTTCGTTGCTTTTTAAAATCTCATCAACAAAGATAAAAAAAGGTTGTCTGGATCTTCGATGATCCAAGTGAAAGAGGGCCTTTTTCCTTTGCACGTCTACGCCCCAAGTTGTTTATGTTTTCTCTCCGGCTGGAGAGAGCGTCTGTGTAGTAGGCAAAAACACAAAATCAACTCCTCCCCCATGCACTTCGCTCCCTCCCAAACAACAAAACTAGAAATACCCTCAGCTACCTAATGCATTTTTGCAGTTTATTTCATTCGTTTCTTTAGTTTTTTCATAATTTTATGTTTAATTTTTTATTTTAAATGCTATGAGAAGGAAATCGTACACCGCCGAATCAAAGGGGTCTAATAGGAAATTTGGTGCAACAGCAGCGGCGATTGAATACGAAATCGACGAGTCGATGATATGCCGATGGAGCAAAGCGGAGGCTAACTCGTTTCTTACAGCATTCAACATCAGCGTCAACAAGCCATTTAAGGAAAACCTGAAGGACTACTGAAAAGAATGGATGGCTGACAGCCAAAACGATCAATTCACACCATGAATTGATCGGGCAGAGCAATTGGAAAAAATGGTTCATGAAACTTCGCTACACTGTACAAGTTTTTGTTTAGTATGTTGTTCCGCCGACATCTGTGTCGCCGTCCTCTACACATCTCCCGATCGATGATGGTGGACGATCAGTGTACACCGCTTTCCCGTAGCCACTGGGTTTCCAAGCAATCTTTTTGGTTATTCTGAAGCGCACGCTTGCTGTCGTATGAGTTTAGAAACCCAAAATTCACCACTCTCTCTAACAGTTTCAGACCTGTTTCCAAAGCCTGCCCCCATTCTCGACTACAATAATCCCAACTAGTCAGTAAACGACTTTTTGCCTATCCTGGAACGCATTCTTGCTGTTCACAAGTTTAGAAGCTCGAAATTTGCCACTTTATCCAGCCGCACCTAAAAGGTGTCCTTTCTACCATAATATTGCCTCTATTTTCATCCAATCTTTTAACAAATCCAAAATTTTTGCGTCAACATTCCTGTTGGCAACCAGAACAAACAGAAAAATATATTTTGGCCATCAAAATTTTTTGATAAATTCCTTCTTTTGGCCTCAGTCTTATTCGAGCATAATTTTCTAGCAATTTCTAGAAGAAATTTGCATTTTTAACAGTTTCAATGGCGCTACTTTTTTAGAAAGACCTCGAGATTCTCTCTCACTGAATCATTCCGTTCACCAAGTGACAACCACCCTTACTGAGATCTAATTTTCAAATCCTGAATCTGTAAAATCTATAAAAACTATTCTTTTCAGCAATCTGGAATGCACTCGAGTCTTTCTTTCATGTTAATTTACTCTGAAAGGCAATCTAAAATTTTGCAGAGGTCCCGGCATTCTCGACCCCTCTCGACCGCCCTGCCCATCGATGGCCCATCTTATTCAGCGGATCATGGGGTAAGTGGAAAACGGGGAAAACGATTCGATCTTTGCTTGCAAACTAAACAAAACCACTCTAACCACAAATAAAAACTCTAATGGTATTTTTCTAGGCCGTGAATGGTGGCTGGACAAATCGAGTGGTGCAAGATGAGGGAATATCGGAGGAAGGGATTGACGCATTGGAGAGGATGAAAGACGAGATGGGAATATTGCTGAAAACAGGCGAATACTCACAATTCGAGCTGGTCGGGAGTGGAGTGCAGAGAAAGGTGCGGGAAAGGAAATATGGAGAAAATTAAAACCATCGAAATTCAGGTTGACCGACTGACTCTCGGCGTGCAAAAAGTTTGCGGTCAATACCAAGATGCCAGCCGAACAATACCAAGAAGGCTCCTCCCGTTCCCTCGATTCGACAAACTTTGGGCGATTTTTGCGATAGATTAAAGCAAAGCAAGCATAGCTTAAAGCCAAATTTTCCCTAGTCTACAAACGTCTATGACTCACTGTTACAGGTCTACTGTTATTTGAATAGTATTATTTGCAATAATATCGTCTATTAGTTGTAAATAATGTTTAGCAGATTTTTAGACTTAAAAAGCTTTCTTTCTTCCCAACATTCAGATTCGTCCACCGCCACTCACCGCTCCTCCACCAATTCCCCAAGTGATTCCCATTGGGACAAGGTGGCTATTTGGAGAGAAGAGACAGTGGAGTCTATGAAAATGGACATGAGCACGAAGAACGAATCGGTCACAACAGGTTATCGAATGAAATCGACAAAGTTCAAAAATTGTCTTTAGATTGGAGATTTTTATGTTTTTTTACAAGAATTTTCGCTAGTATAACTAGTTAGAGAACCAGTTTGGCAAGAATTCCATTTAATTATCTGATTAACCATCAATTTGACATTGTTATAGCTAAACGACCCTGGTAAGAGTAATCCTACTACTCTACCGTACCCTTCCCTATTTTGCACTAAACTTTATCTTTCCGTACCTGAGCCGCTAACTAGTTTACCTTATTTCCTTACAAATTTTCACTCTACAAATTCCTTTCAAATGGGTATTCTCTTGTCTTTTGTTAATGAATGCAAACTTGTCGTTAAATAAAAATAAAAAGAAATTATTGCAAGAATGGGGAAGCAATCAAGAAATAATAATGTAACAAGAAAAACCGATACATAAATTGAGAAATGGAAAATCACATCAGAATAGGCAAGCTGAAGCGAGAAAGGACTAAACTGAAAAAAGAACGAGAAAAAGATATTAAGAAACAGAAGAGATAGCTTAGAAGTGTCAATATTACCTAAAAACCTGGAGTTTAGAAAGCACGGGTTAACACACTTTAAAAAAGTATTATTACACCATCATCACGGCTTCCTCTTGTAGAGCGAATCGCTGTAGTCTTTGTGCATCATTTGATCGACCGCCTTCAGCACTACCTAAAAAAGCATAAAAGTGCGATGAGCGCGACTTGAACGACTCACGTCTTTATTTAAATCCGTTATCAGATCGCGCGCCTCATCACACAAGCCACCGAAACGACCGATCAACGACTCCATTTCTGGAAATAAGAGCGTTTGAGCAAATTACTAGCAGCCTATTTCAATTTTGTTCACCTACACGTACTATATTGAATTAATACCGATATCTTTCTTCTAAAAACATTGAATTTAAAATTTACCAGCACGCATATGAGCCGCTCGGTCCTCAAGCGGTGATAGGAACAATGGATCCGGAAAGTCTTGAAGCTGCTGCTGCGAATTGCGAAGACGAACATGGCCTAAAATGAAAGATGGCCTATAAGAACAATTAAAGCCACACCCAGCTTAGCACTGTTTGACAAAAAGTAGTGAAACATGAAGGCTCCTAAAACTAAAGCTTCAACTACCCACTCACTTTGAATCTTGTTTGCTTGTCTGCGTCGTTGTTCAATCCTCTTTTCTTTTTCTTTTTTGTTCCTCATAGGCGTCGAGTTCCAGAAAATACGAATCTGCTAAAAAGCTTAAATTTTAGACCTTAAGCCTCAACACAACTTGTTTTTGCTTTGAATTTCGGCAGGACCCGAGGTGTGTGTTGAAAGTCGCGTAAGTTCAATGGTAATGGAACATCTAAAGGGCTACATTTAAATTAAGTCAACCGAGAGCAATACCTTTATCCTCGTACAAATCTTCTCGGGGAAGCCTCCAGTCGTATTCTGGCAACGCCAAGTCTTCATAAACGCGTTTTCTTGGCTTCACTAAAAAAGATATTGTTTGACAGCGATCAAACATTAACCTAGTGTCCGAAGGGGTTTCTGATTCCTCTTTGACAAAGAAGAGAGTGGTTGTTCCCCTTCTTCGGCGCCAATTTCCAGATCGTCCACGACCAACCAAGGAGATGACGATGAAATGGATGTATCATTCTCGAAAAGTGGTGACGTGTTCCGACTGCTTGTTCTGGGCGTGAGAGCGCCTAATGACGTTTCCTAAATATTAACAAAAACTTAGCTGCTAGGTCTCTGACAATACTATTTTATCTACCCGATACAACGCTATTTTAGAATAAAATCTTTATACGCAATTCCTAGGCAAAACATACCATTTCTTTCTTCCCTCTTCCTCCTGATTGCAAATTCTTTCCATCATTCTTGTCTACGTTCCTCGGGGTCGAGATGCGACTGGTTGAAGCTTTAGGTCTCTGCAAAAAATAGCATAAACTTAAATTGAGTCTCGGTATTTAAGTTGCTTAAAAACTACCTTAACCTCCTCGTCAGATGATGAAAACAAGTCGATTACACTCAAATCCTGCCATGCCCTTTTGCGCAACGGTCGTCCCTCATATGTTGGCTGCGCGAGTGTCAAGTCGAGCGCTTCCATGTTCACTAAAAGTTTCATTATTTAGAAACTAAAACAAAAGTAAATACTTTTTAGTACCTGGTTCAAGTTGTTTCCTCGGCCGACCGCGCTTCTTTGGGACTTTATTCTAAAAGAATTTCTGAAGAGACAAAAACATTCTTCTACCTCAGGAATCTTTTCCTTTCTAGGTCGACCACGAGGACGTCCGATGTGTGCGCTTAGAGTTGATGATGCGCTAGAAGATCCTTGAGATTCCTTTACCATTTCATCTGCAATATGAAAGTAAAGGAATTTAGTGATAAATCGAACCTTTTTTCAGCTGTCTTTTGTCATTCTTTTGCCCCTTCGATGAATCGATCCAAACCACATCGTTCTCATCCTCATTCGCGTCAATTCTCACGAAGATCGGCCCTAAAAGCCGAATTGGTAAATTAAATATTTTTCACTAGCTACCGGCATTTTCTTGTTCTTCCGGTCCACCAAGAAAAATTACATCGTCATCATCGTCAAACGGGAAGGTTGAAGCTACAACACCAAATTCACTCAGGAACTATTGAATCCGTTAATGAAGCCCATTCAATAAGGTGATAAATTTGAGTAAAGTTAAGATTTGGTCATTATAGCTTTATGCGAAGTCTAGCACAAAGAGAATCTTTATGATAATCTATAAGACTCGTCACAGATCCTATAGAATCTAGCCCTTTTTCCGTTTGAATTATATCACAGAGATAACTGACGGTCTTTATCATTTGCAAGCTGTCGAGCGACCCGAGTGAAACCATCGTCATCATTCTCCGGTCGGCGATTCTCCTCATTGCTGCCGCGCCTTGGTAAGCTGTTTCTTGTTGATTGAGGTGGCGGCGATTGGCTAAAAATAAACTACATATTACAGTTTAAAGAGCTTAATGAACATCTTTGCTAGATTTATCGTATTTTAGGATTTTCACGCAAAAATGACTCCTTTTTAGATCAAACTTTAGTTAAATCTTCTCAGTAACACAAAGTTTAAAAAACCGAACCTTGGTATCGCATCCAGTAATTTCTTTTCACACGCCGTTATACTCATTCCGATGCTTTCTAAAAAATAAAACCCATGAAAGATTTAGAAAGGTTTAAAAATAACAAAGAGAAAAAACAAAGCGATTCTCAATAAAATGTTCGGTTATTAGGTAGGTGCATAAATTTTTACAATTTTCCAAACGTCTTTTAAAAATAATGGCTCCACCAATAAAATGAACTATTAAAAAGATTGGCCACTTTTTAGTGACCAGCCTTTAGACAAGTTTTTAATGGGTTAATGAATAGGCAATGGGCCCCATTCAAAGCCTAAAATGAAGTACTTAAAATAGGAAAAATTTGTGATTAAGGCAAATTTGATCTAATGCTTTTAACCCAGAATCACCCATTTTAGTAAACACTTAGTGCCAAGAAGGTGTCACCAAAAAAGATGCTTTTTTGAAATACAGCTTCTCTGTAAAAGAATTTTTGGCGAGAAATAGAGATTATAGAGGTATTGTTAGCTTTACATTTGTACTAGCTTTACCTCAGAAAGAAATGGTTTTTCTAGTGCAAAAAGTGAGCTGAATTAAGCAGGAAAATAGGGGGTGGGACAAATGCGACCTTTTTTTTGCGCGCCTGGACATTTGCGCACCTTTTTTTGCTGGAAAAGCTCTTCAAGCAGTTGGTACGTTTGCTGTTCGAAAATGTTTTGGTTATGAATTGCTTTTAGCAAACATGGTGGAGAACGCGCTCGAATGGACAATTCAAGGAGTCGGAAACATTTCGGCAATCGATAGTAGCGATTCTGCCGAGAGAGCCTCTTGTATGCTTGTCGAAAAGCAATTGAAGCTACCATACGATGTAGACAAAGTTGTAAGTATTGCGAGCCTGTTCCTTGCCACAAAATAAACTTTAGAGAAGGGCTGTTGATCTTTCTCGTCCTATGCCTACACGTGAAGACACTGTTGCAATTTGAAAAATGGTCATGTGAAGCTGGCTTACGTCATTAATGTAATTCTCTGTGTTAACAACTTAAGCGAAAATGTTTAGATCGATCATGGTCTTCGACAAGTCCAGAGTACGCAAATTTGGTTGGTAGTCTTCTTACAACAGGATTGATTCCGTCTGGTGTCAAAACAAAGAGATGCATCGAGGAGGTAACAAAATTTATGTGTAAAAAATAAGTTCTTTTAGGCGTTTGCGATTGACCGTGGCTTTAGCCTTGGAGAAACGGTGGTTTTGTATCAGAGTGAGTTTCCGAACGATGCAGAAAAAGCCATTGAATGCACTACAAAGAAAGGAATGTTTGGACAGTCATTAATGCAAAGGTTGGGGATAAACTATGAAATTTGCCAGGGTTTACGTTATTTGTCGTTGCGTTTCTTCTATTTTTTAGGCAGAAATAAATTTAGGTAACTTCGGATTTTGGTGCTCCCTGGAAAAACACGTAGCGCGCAATATTGATCTAGAAAAGACGAGACCATGCAACTTGGAGAAGTAAAGTTAATCAGAGTACAATTTATTTTGAATTTAGACAACCGCTGACTGCGATGATCAAGACCCCAATTGTACCGATGGATAACGTGGGCTTGTTCGAAAGGGTCATCTTCCCAGAATGAAGAGAGTGTGGGGTTTAGGCAAATAAAAGAATGACTTATGTTTAGACGAGTTAAACGTATACGCAGAAATCAAGCGTCAACGTAAACAAACAAAACTACGTCAAGACAGGCAAAAGAACTTTTTGGAAATGAATTCATTGGAGAGGTAATTCTTTGAGTTTTTTTCATATTGGTGGGCTTAGGTGCTTCGAATGCAGACTACTGTTGATGTAGAGTGGATGGATCGAACAATTTCTTACGATTTGCCTGGAAACATGCTTGTGCCGGTTAATCCAGATCTTGATCAACAAGATCATTTACCGGGAGTTCTCGTTGCAAGAAAAGATGGAAATACAAGTAGTCTGAGCAAAATGTGATCAATATTCAAGTTGTCTTAGGTGATGAACTTGGCTTAATTCTTCAAACTGATCAACAAGAAAGGTGCACCCTAGTTCGATGGTTGCAAATTGCCGGCGATGGAGTTCCCGCTGATAAAGGAGCAACTGGACGGTTGCCGCTGTAGGGGTAGTGAGTTTTCGGCTCAGACTCAAAGCTTAGAATCAATACGGGCAAAAGCGATCAATAGACAAGTTAAATATTTATGCGAGAATAGATCAGATTAGGTCACTTACCTCATTGTCTTCCTTCGAGTTACCGGATCCCATTTTCTTTAGTCGATAAGTTATAGAGACAGTAGCGAATATTGAACAGCTAAAATGGGTTGTGATTTATTGATCAACTAACTACCGTGCAATTTTTGAATTTTTTAACATGCAAATTTTTAACAATATGCTAATTAGCCGTTTCAGATGGAAAAATTCAAACAAGCTTTGTAAAAAGCGTTTATATAACAACAAAAAACAACAGTATCAGACTCAAAACAATCATAACAACATAAAAAATACAGTACTAAGTTTTATCGGTCAGCGCTCGTCGAAATCCGTTGACAATGCAAGAAGTGGGAACCGTGTGGAAACTTTTCCTCACTCATTCAGCGACTTTTTCGTAGCTCGCGCGCTTCTTTCGCCCCGATGGTGTGAATTGATCGTTTTGGCTGTCAGCCATCCATTCTTTTCAGTAGTCCTTCAGGTTTTCCTTAAATGGCTTGTTGACGCTGATGTTGAATGCTGTAAGAAACGAGTTAGCCTCCGCTTTGCTCCATCGGCATATCATCGATTGAAGCTACCATACGATGTAGACAAAGTTGTCGATCTCTAAAGCTTATTCCCTTTCTCTTTCTACCTTCATCTTCTTTTTATTTCTTATTCAATATATCCACTTTTTATAACTTTCGATATCCGAAATAAAGAAAAAATGGTTAGATTGAATAAAAAAGAGATAAGATTACGGTAGAAAGGGGGAAAAGAGACAGATTAGAGAATCACTTAGTTAAAAAAACGAGTTTCAAAGTAATTAAAGTAAAACTCTGGATAAGTTTTTTGGTTGTTTTCTGGTGCTTATGCTATT